CAACCCCTCCCCCCACCTGCCGAAATTGTAAAGTTCACTTTTCAACATAGCATCTTGTACATCTCAATGTTGCAATGGGTCAATATGTATCCCTATTTAAGCAATTTGTTTTTTCCCTTCCGCTCCCAAATTATACCAACATCAAATACAATTATGCCTTGGGGGAGGGACATACAAAGCAACAAAAAAGATCACATGGTACCTTATAAATATGTTAGAAACAATAGCAAGAAAAAAACCCACTTGTGTCCTTATCTTGAGGTACATTTTGTTTAACATCATCTTATCTGATCTTTTCTGCTTGACTCAGATATATACTAGTAATTGCAAATAAGGGAAACCATGGGACCTATGTTCTTTGGGCCTGGCTTAATTCACTTAATATAATTTTTTCCAATCTTTCCATTTCCTAACAAATGGGGCAATGTCATTCTTTTTGATGGAGGCATAGAATTCCGTTGTGTATATATACCACAGTATTTCGATTATTTTCACCTCTAGATCCAGCTTTCACTCATTTCCTCATTTTTGTTCAAACTACTTTAGTCTGTTTATACTGAAAAATACAGCTGTTATGTTAAAACTAATGGGCCAAAATTGATTGAAAAAAATTTCCCACTGCGTCAACTCTATTTCCACATATCAAAATATTATTCATTTTTTAGAACTAATGCCAGATTTTCACATAACTTGCAATCCTCATATTACACATGATCACAGCCCTGATCTTCACATTACCTATCATTTTCTGCAACTTTGTATATTTGTGTGTATATATGTGTATACTATGCACATGTACATATGTGTGTGTGCATGGATTTCCTTGCAATCTATTTCTTTACTAGAATATCATTTTTAAGAACTTATACTACCTTGTTTTTAGCTTTGTTTTGGGAAAAGACCACTAGGATCTATTAAATAATTGTTCATTTCATAAATAATTACTTGTTTGTAAGTTAGGAACTGAGCAAGGTGTACTATACAAGGAATATGAGAATTGGACTACCAGATAAGAAGATGTGAGAAGATACATTAAGCCTCAAGTTGCATGGGTTATTACACTTAAAGATACAGGGATTGACGCTCCAATCCATTTTCATGCAAGCTGATTTATTCATTTCTTGATAATAAATGTCAATGAGAGCTAACACAAATGGTAATTAAGTCAGCTTCTAAGGTGATATGAACAACTTCATGTATGTTCCAGCATACAGTTCATTTCTACTCCCATTGATAATGAATTTTCAGTCTAGTATATGAATGTGATTGAGAGAATTGATATAGATGTGTGTGTTTAAAGTGAATGCTGATTTAGAAAATGCTGATTTGTTTTCAATGCTGGGTATCAAAATCAGGATCATGTATATGGTAGGCAAGTACTCTGTCACTGAGTTACATCTGTATCCTTTGGTATTATGTACATCCCTAGCTGGTCCTGAACTCTGTATGTTGCTCAGGCAGACCTCAGACTTGACATCCTCCTACCTTTGTCTTCAAAGTTCTAAGATTATAAGGAAGAACCACCACATTCAAATGTTTCAAGACATTAAATAAACTTAAGTTAAAAAAATCTTAAAGAATATTTGAAATATGCCTTATAAAACAATAGAGAAAACAAGAATCTATCAATAGATAACTAAAGAAGATATCAAATCTAATTTCAGTCCTGAGAGGGTATATTAAGTGAATATGCTTAATATTTTTTCTACTAATTATCTATATCTATATCTATCTATATGGTATTCTATGTTAAGCATGCTATATTAAGTTCATAGATATATTATTATATGGCATTTATACAAAAACTATTTGGTATAATCATAATAAATATGCTTTCAGCTTCATGTTTTGGAACTTCATCTAATCATGCTAAAGACATATTTGCTATTCATTGATCTATGTATCAGTTTCTATACATATTAAAATTTGGGAGAAGGAAAACTATATATTGATAGTCTATAACTTTATCATGAGATGTATTAAATCTTCTCATAATTTCAGCATTTATTTTTAACTTAGTGAATTGATGTAAAAATAAATTAAGAAAAATACACATTTTAGAGTTGACAAAACAGAAAAGCCAAGCTGAACAATACAGACAGACACAACTCAAACTCCATTCCCTCCTAAGAACATCTCTATTGTCTTCTCCTCCATAAACAAGGTGAGATAAAAACATGTAATGCCTAAGAATATCATCAACAATATTTTTTCTTGATTGTAGCTTCCAGTTGATCATAAAATGCTCTTATGCTCCTAGTGACATAAAAGGGATTGCTTCACACAACATAATAGCCACCAAGAGCTCTAAAAATAGACACACTGCTGTTAAAACCCTGTTTTTATTAATCCTTTTAAACCCCCCATAAACAGGTAAAAGGATAGAAAAAGAGGTAATGATTTATGCTCAATAGTGCAAAAGTCAGAAAGAATGGAAGAAACTTGGATGAAAGACAAAAGGACTTTTGAAGGACTAGGAAAACAATCAATGATTCAAACACCCTATAACCAAAATTAGAACAAAACAATCTTCTTTTCTAGTAGCATTAATTGTGTGTGCATACTAACACATGAATACACTCACATGTGTGCCCGGGCAAAGTTACAATGTTTGCTTTTCTTTTTTTAGAGTGATTTTTAAAGAGAAAACCGAAAATATAATCAAATCATTTAATTTATTCTTATTATGCTCCTACATGAGAAGAAAGGGAATCAATCAAACAGACAAACCAGGGAGGCAAAAGCAAATGGCTAGTTCCTTATGGTCTGTTCAATCATATAAAACTCATTTATTTCCCAATAAGCTACAAAGACAGGTCACATAGGTGAAGGCTCATAGGCTGTGACTACATCAAAACAAATGTAGTGTTGTATTTAAGACACAGAGCTTTCTTTTGTGAAGAGTTATCTATATAACATTTGCAAATTGTTTTGGAATAAAATGGACTATGTTACGAAACAATTTCTTTATAAAAATGAAAGATTGAAAACAAACAAGTCCAAACAATAAAGCAATAATAATGACAGGTAAAATGTTCCTAGGCTTTGGCTGTGGACTATTTACATCTTAGGGAGGGCAATGGAGGGAGGGAAAGATAGATTTATGGAGAAGGACTGATGAAATTGTTGGATTTAGGTAAGTCTAAACCTAATAATAAAACTATACAAACTAGAAAGCTGTCTTTCATATGACCAAAAGGAGAGTGTCCTTGGTTGATATAACCAGTGCAAGAATACCAGATTTTATTTTATTCTACTTGTTTCCTATTGTTTGAGATTCTGAATAGTATATTGAGAAAAGGAATCTTCCTAATATAGAGGAATTTCAGGGATTAACTCTTTAAGAAGAAATTAATTTATGAAAAAAATGTCATTTGCACCTAAAGACATTTTGGTGACTGAAGAGAAAAAGACACCTATTTTGTCTTCTCCAACACATTTAAGATACATTGCTAAGAAATATGTTATTTCATTGTGTCTTCCTGAGTAATTGCACATTTTATATGTATCATGTTATATATTGCATATATGATCTATTACATATATAGAACAATATATATATGACTCTACATATAAATGAACACACTACTTGTCCATGTAAGAATATATTTTTCTGTATGTCATAAATTATCTAACATGTATTCTTAATTTTAATTATAAAAATTCCAAATATTACTTATTTAAAAATCCACAGTGGGGTCATAAAGCTCTGTAAATAGACAAGAAAGAATAACGAAATGCAAGAAGGCCAACTTTGTCTTGCTCTGTTTTTTTTTACAGAATTTTTTTTTGTGTGTGAAAATACCGTACAGAGGGGTTACAATTACATGGACAAGGTAATGAGTGCATTCCTTTTTTTTAAATTTTTTTTTATTGTGAGAATACCATACAGAGGAGTTACAATTACATGGGCAAGATAGTGAGTACATTTCTTATCAAGCATTGTTGCCTCCTCTTTGCTTCCCCTTCCCTTCCCTTCCCATATATGAGTGCATTTCTTATCAAGCATTGTTGCTTCCTCCTTTGTTTCCCCTTCCCATCCCTTTCCATCCCCCCTCGCAGGCCCCTCCCCCTTCCTCCCCTCCCCCCTACAATGTTGTAAAGTTCATTTTGGACATAACATCTTATACATCTCATTGTTGAAATGTGCCCACCTGTAACCCTATTTGGTTTTTTTTTTTTTTTTTTTTTTTTCAATTGTGAGGCTTGACCTCTGGGCCTGGGCGCTGTCTCTGAGCCTCTTTTCTTCAAGGCTAGCATTCTATCATTTGAGCCACAGTACCACTTCTGGTTTTTGAGTAGTTAATTGGAGATGAGAGTCTGTCTCATTGGGACTTTTCTGTCCCGGCTGGCTTTGAACCATGATCATCAGCTCTCAGCCTCCTGAGTAGCTAGGACTGCAGGCCTGTCCTACTGGTACCTGGCTTTTCGTCTGTATTTTAAAACACACTCTGAGGGACACAACAAATGTTTGTCCCATGAGCAAGCATTTTAGTGGCTAATAGAAAACCATTTAATTTTTTACACAAATAAAGCAGTCTTATTTCAAAGCCATTAATTTCCCCCTCAAGGGCTGTGATCTCATCAAATAAACTAAAAATTCGGTGTGTTTTATAGGAAATTAGTAAGTTAGCAAAGACATGAAGCAAATTAATCTAAAATAATTCTTTTTTTACTTTAATCTATGTTTTGTTCTATAATTAGATCTCTGCCAGTTTTTAATAGTAATTAGTAATACAAAAATTGAAGATTTCTCTATTAAGAACTGAGACTATAATAGCTTTATATGTTTAGAAAAACATCCAATACTGGCATTTAATATACAGAAGAACTAGCACAATGGATTTGTTCAGCTGTTCTAGTAGTATTGTAAGGTATATCCAAAATGGTCCTGATATTGATCAGAATGCATTATACTCACAAAATGACATGTTGAACAGAAACCTCTTTGTACAAGACTAAGAAATTAAAACAAGAGGTGCCAGTGACCACCCAGGAAGATGGTAGAACGGGGTTCCAAGTCTGTGCTATTCCTGTGTCTGAGTAACATTTGCCAGTCACCCATTGCAGAAGCAGTTTTCAGAAACCTTGTAGCTGACCAAGATGTTTCAGATAACTGGGCCATTGACAGCGATGCTATTTCTGACTGGAACATGGGCTGTGCCCTAGACCCAAGAGCTATGAGCTGCCAAAAAAATCATGACATTAGCACAGCCCATATGGCAAGACAGGTTACCAAAGAAGACTTCGTTACATTCGATTACATACTGTGTATGGATGAAAACAATCTGAGAGATTTAAATAGAAAAAGTAATCAAGTTAAAAACTGCAAAGCTAAAATCAAACTACTTGGGAGCTATGATCCACAAAAACAACTCATTATTTTTTTCCATATATATTTTTATTGTAAAAGTACTGTATAGAGGGGTTACAGTTACATGAAAAAGGTAATGAGTACTGTAAGGTCTGCTCCTGGATGGCTAGCAGACTCCACCCTCCTCGCAGCAAAGTCTCCACCCAGTACCTGCGTTACCTAGGCAACTGGGACACCTGGAAGAGGTCACATCTGCATCTGCTGAGGTCACATCTTAACCTGATGTGGCCACACCTTCGCCCCCCCCCCATACCCTAGATAAGGCCTAGCGCAGGCCCAGGCTCTCTCTCTGTGTTCTATTCTAACTCTCTCTCTCTCTCTGTTTGTTTCTAGCTCTCTGCTCTCTCACTGCTCTATTCTAACTCTCTCTGCTACCTATCTCTCTGTTCTATTCTAGCTCTCTCTGCTACCTAGCTCTCACTGATCTATTCTAGCTCTCTCTGCTACCTAGATCTCTCTGTTCTTTTCTAGCTTTCTCTCTGCCTTTTTCTAGCTCTCTCTCTGTTCTTTTCTTGCTCTCTCTGCTCTCTTTGCTCTTTTCTCTCTCTTTCCTCTCTCTCTTTCCTCTCTCTTTTGCCAGCCACGTGGAGTGCCAACCTTGCCTGGTCCCAGCAGGTCTACCGAATAAATCTACCCCTTACCTGAATACCACTTGAGTGCTGTTGTTCTTACTGGGCTACCTCTTTTTAAAAACCTAACATAAATGGTGCCGAAGTACATTTCTTATCAAGCATTGTTACCTCCTCTTTTGTTTGTCCCCTATGATTCCTTCCCTCCCCACCTCCCCAACTCCTCCCCACCCCCGCAATTGTAAAGTTCTTTTTCGACATAGTGTCTTGTAAATCTTACTGTTACAATGGGTCAACCTGTATCCTTATTTCAGTATTTTGTTATATCCCTTCCCCTCCCCAAATTATAAAAATGTATATACAAGATGCAGAACACGTGAATCAGATACAGAGAAAACAGGAATTATACTTTGGGGGAAGAACATACCAAAGAAACAAAAGAATGACATTATCAGGGGCGCTGTGACTCAAGCAGTAGAGCTCTCTCCTTGAGCTGAAGAGCTGAGGGACAGCGCCCAGGCCCAAGTTCAAGCCCCACAACACCCTCCCCTAAAAAAAAGATATTTTAAAGCTATGTACATCTGACCATATAAGATGATGTTAAGTGAAATGAACCCAAAGACAGGGAAACAGTGTTTTTTTCTTGCTTGCTATTGTTTTTAACATACTTATAATGTACTATGTGATTCTTTTAAACTACTCATTATTGAACATCCCTATTATGGAAACCACTCTGACTTCGAGCTGTGTAGCAGCAGTGTCTGGTGCTGCAGAGCCTTCCTAGAGAAGGCCCACTAGGCTAGCACTGCCCACAGCTAAGCCAACAACTCACCCACTAGTCTTGTGCCTACATGTAGTAGCGTTCCTTAGCCCCAACCCTTGTTTCTTCAGCTGACTTAGTCTTTGTTATCTTAAAAATTTCTTGCTTGCTATTGTTTCTAACATATTTATGAGATGATTTCTTTGTTACTTTGTATGTCCCTCCCCCATGGTATAACCCCTGTTTTCACTGTATTTGATGTTGGTATAATTTGGGGAAGGGAAGGGAAAAAAAACAATTGTTTAAACAAGTATACAGATGGACCCATTGCAACAAAAAAGCTGGGGGAGGGAGCAGAGGGGAGGGGTGGGGGGGAGACATGGGAAGGGATGGGAAGGGGAAACAAAGGAGGAGGCAACAATGCTTGATAAGAAATGTTCTCATTACCTTGTTCATGCAACCCCTCTGTATGGTATTTTCACAATAAAAAATTAAAAAAATAAATAAATGAAAAACAAACTTTACAACTTTGGGGGAGGGGATGGGCAGGGATGGGAAGTGGAAACAAAGGAAGAGGCAACAATGCTTGATAAGTAATGTACTCATTACCTTGCTCATGTAATTATATCCCTGTACAGTATTTTCACAATAAAAAAGAAAAAAATAATTTTAGGTGACAATTAGTTTAATTTACCCAAGAATAAAAGGTTTTAGTTTGAGGAAGTTAATTGACTAGTTGAACTTCTCAGTTTGCCCTGATTACAAAACAGTGGAACAAGTAAGTATGGAAGAACAAAATACAAGTCAGTGAAATAATAAAGACCTGAGCTCCTGAAGACCTGGACAGTGGTCTCTACCTGGCATGTTGCCTGCCTAGAATTGTTTAATGCTGTTGCTTCCCATATATGGTGCTGATCTGGCCTCTTACAGAGTCACAATAACTCTACTGATAGCAGCTCCTCTGCCTATCTAAGAAATATTCTAGCTCAGTTTACTCATAGTACACACTTACATGTTTAAGACAGAAGCAAGGCATAGTGGTACCTGTAAATCTAGCAGTAGGGAAGCTGAAGCAGGAAGATCATAAGTTCAAGCCAGTCTGGGCTATAGCTTGCTTCAAAATAAGAACACAAAATAAATCTTTAGCATTCTTAAAAAAAAGAAATTTAAAGTTAAAAAAATCCCAAATCAAATTATCCTAAAATAGTTGCAATCTTATTCATTTGTTCATTCATTCAGCATTTATTGAACATCCATGTTTTCAGTATACACAAGGACATTAACTAAGGAAATCAGAACTGTTTGCTTCTTTAATAGTCAACTCCAAAATTAAAATTACAACTACTCTTCAAGTCCACTTTGCTCTGTCAATACATTCTCTTTGTAATATTATAGAAGACTAATCATTTCTGTTTGGTTATGAGCTGTAGACTTGGCTCATTTTTCTTCTAAGAAAGTTCTATTTGATATTCTGAGAGCAGGAAAACACAATTCAACCATAGTCTCCATGTCATTCCAGAAAGACACTGTGCTAAAAATTTCAAACAGTAATTAATTAGTGTTGCACCACTAGGTAGTGGTATAAACCTCCTGAATATTATGAACAATGGTAACATAGATGCTTTTGTCTTACATTTAACTTGAGCCCTGCCAATTAATTATAGGTGTAAAAAAATTGCATGCAAAAATGATTGCACCTGAAATTAGCTGATGCAGGTGTAACTGGTCAGTTGTCTTTCCCCTCAAGGGAGTCCTGGATTAATTATGGCAATTATTAGATAATTATTGGTATAATTACATGAATTATCACACAATTTTATTGTGCAAAAATGTGGTGTAGAAAATAAGATATGAACATAGCTTTCATAGAAATTTCATTGAGATTGCTGTTCGCTGGATTTGAAGTGCTTAATAGTTGCTTGTCTGGGTGTCTACCTCTGTACCTACTCACTGCTTACTTAAGCCATATTCATCCTTTCTTGAAGATAGGAATGAGGCAAGGGAACCTATACTGAGTTCAATACTAATCCCAACTGCCATCATTAATTGCAGAAAACATCATGCTCTGGTGAGCTTATTTTACTTACCTCAGTGTCCAGGCAATATAAATACTGTGCTGTCAATTGCTATACTTCAGAGGAAAGAAGGATGTATAACTTAACAAGGTCAGATGTCACTATCTTGGAATAGAATATCTATACCTCCTGCCTTCAACAGAATAAATCAGATCACTGTGATTTTACTTTATTTTCTGGTTGTACAAACAAATGGTAGTGACTTTTAAAGATACCACTTAACAATAGGAAGGTGAAGGAGACAGAAAAATCGAAACCACATATTGTCCATTAGTATAGATATGAAAACTCTTTACTCTGGTTATATACTTAAATTAAAGGCTCAATGATGCCCACATTCCTCTCTATCCTAATTTCAGTTACTCAACTCTTGCCAAATTCCTCATAGGATCAAATGCTGTCACAGTCATTTAAAAATGTGTCTGACTCTTGGTGCTGTATACTTTAATTTATTCACGCTTCCAAAAAGACTTGTGATGATAAGACTAGCTACTCAGGATGCTGAGATTCAGAGCATTGCTGTTCAAAGTTAGCCAAGGTAAAAATTCTGTGGCAGTCCACTCCAAAAATAACAAAAAGCCAGGTTACAGTCATAGTTTATCTTGTAAGGTGCCAGTCCGAGTGAGTGGCAAGGCTCTGAGTTCAAACATTGATACTAGCCCAAATGAATACATGTTTTGTTATTTTCTATTTACTCTTTCTAGCCTCTTGCCATCATGTTTCTACTTCCTGCCTCTAAGGATGAGGTCTATATTCAATCAGAAGCCATCCTACTACCATTTACCTATGCCCCATCAAAAATTCAGTTATTGCTTAAATGACAATGCTGGAAATTGGATCTTTTAGAGTGATCCTACAAAAGAGGCTTCATGCAAACTTTGGCCTATTGCTCTTCTATCTTCTGCCTGTGAGAACTCAGCCTTTCTTCCATCTAGAGGAGGCAGCCTTTACTAGAAAACAGTTCCTACATCATCTTGATCTTGATCACTACAGCTTCTTAAACTGTGGAATAGATATTTGTATTTTAAAATAAATCACAAGAAACTATTATTCTTTTACAGCCCCACAAAATGGACTTACACACACTCCTTACCAATGACCTTTTCTGTCTCCCAATTTTTCCCATAACAGCATGCCTCTGATAGGTCATCTCCCTATCTTGGTAGATACAAAAGAGCCTAGTGATAAACAGAATCATGATTCAGATAAAATCCAATAGTCAGGATGTCTAGAAGCTTCATCATGCTTTAACTGTAGAAATCATTTTCTGTATTCAAGAAGTATAATTCAAGCCAGGTGCTGGTGGCTCATACCTGTAATTCTAGCTACCAAGGAGGCTGAGATCTAAGGATCACAGTTCAAAGCCAGCCAGGGCAGGAAAGTCCATGTGATTTTTTATTTCCAATAAACCACCAGAAAATTGGAAGTGGCACTGAAGCTCAAGTAGTGGAGCTCTAGCCTTGAGCTGAAGAACTGAGGTTCAGTGCCCAGGCCCAGAGTTCAAGCCCCACGACCAACAGCCAAAAATAAAATAAAATAATATAAAGTACCATTCACACTGTCATTAATTATAAATTCAGTTTCAGTTGTGTGCGAGTACCACATTCTCAGAGGTTACAATAGGGATCACAGACCTAATTACTGAGAAACATTGTGGACTTGGAAAGTTATTTAGCCATGTTCAGAATTGTCTTTATGCAATTCATAAAATGGTTGAATAGATCATTTTAAAGCATCTTCAGGGCTGGGAAGGTGACACAGTAGTACAGTGCATGTCTTGCATGCATGAGGCCCTGGGTCTGATTCCTCAGCACCATATAACCAGAAAAAGATGGAACTGGCACTATGGCTCATGTGGTAGAGTGCTCACCTTGAGCTGAAGAGCTGAGGAGCAGCGCCCAGGCCTAGATTTCAAGCCTCACGACCAACAACAGCAACAGAAAAGCATCTTCATAGTCAAAAGTAAAGGCTATAAATCCATGAAATGACCCATTTAAAAAATCCACCTGTTGTATGTGCAAGGCTCTGGATTTGATACCCAACACCACAATATATGTATATATGCAAATACTTGTTAACACATTTCTTACTCTCTCTCCAGCCCATACGTACATGTTATTGTTGGGAATGTAAACTAGTCCAGTGACTATGGAAATCAGTATGGAGGTTGTTCAAAATATTAGAGAACATCCATATGGTCCAGCTATGTGATGTATATATGTAAAATAGTCAAAGTCTGTTTACTCTAAAGATCCCAACACACCCATGTTTATCATGGCACTATTCAAAATAGCCAAGTTATTAAATCATTCAAATGTGCATCTATAGATGGATATACAAGAAATATAGTAGACAGAATGAAGCTTTATTTAATCATATGCAAATTAACTAAAATTAGTTAATACCATACCTTTCAATCTTATTTTGGCACAGAGGTTTTTTTGGAAGACAAATATATAAAAATGTCCTTAAATTTTGTATGGAACACACTCTATGAAGCAATGTTCAGATGTCCCAATTGTAAACCTGGCTTATGCTGGGTGTATTTCCAGAGCTCCTTTACTAATAATTTAGTCAATAATTAAGTATTGCAAAGCATAGAAGAGGCAGACACATCTCTGTAGAGAATTGCTGGAGCAATTATAGGAAACTGATTGTTTCCTTTAGACTTGCGAAGTTTTAACTCTAAATCTCCCAAGTGTGACACAGGAGCATGTAATGCTACAAATGGCAGCTGGTTTTCAATTAACAGCCAATACTTGGAAAGAAATGAAAAAAGAAAAAAATCCTCAAAACTCTTTTCCACTTAATTTTTCCCAATCGCTACTAAAAAGATACTTCATTTCCCTTCAGATATTAATGTATTATCATCTTCTTGTCAATCAAATTTCAAATATTCAGTAAGATTTTTGCATGCTTCTGTGTAGTTAGATGTCACACTATAGATTTCTCTGTTTCTGATA